TCGAGCTTCGCTTTTGGGCTGCTTGTAGCTCATCGTATTGCATCAAACTCCGCTTCGGCCATCGAATCTAGCTTTTAGTCTTGCTCCAACAACATTTTTTTAAAAAACAGTTTGTTTCAAACGTTTTTAAGCAATTTTTTAGTTCTAGGAATGCGTGTGGAGTTAGTAATTACGAAACAGACAACATAATTACATTTGATTTGAATTAGTGCGTTCAAATGGAACGCATTATAAAAATCGATTAATTGAAAGCTAAAATAAGATTTTAAAAAATGTGACCTCGCGGTAGAAAAGGGACCACATGGTAGGATCTAGTTTCTGAGAAAATCACGTTTAAATACAGTGACCTGAGGTTTTTAAGTTTTCTGTTTTCATTTGAATTTGATAGATGATTATCAGAATATTAACTGAATTGATTATTTTCTTCATATTAACGTTTGTTTAATTCTATTTTCCAAAAATATTGCAAATAACATTTTTATTAAAGCTTTAAACTGATTTTAAAGTTTTAATAAAAATGACATTTGCCGTTTTTAAACTTTAGAATATAAAAAATCCTAACTTTGGATCCAGTTACTTTAAAGACCAGCTATTTTAAAGATCTTGGTATCATTTTGTTCATTTTAATTAGCTTGTTTCTGTGGTATGAATAACTTATTTCCCCCTATCTGGTCCCTTTTCTACCACGAGGTCACAAATGTTTTTATTTGTAGAGTTTGTTTTTAGACTTTGATAATATTTTGTTATATACATATATTATTATGAACAAAATATTGTTTAGTCGGCGTATTTTTACTTTTATTAAAAAAACGAATGTATTAGAATGATAATGGTGGATTTAATGAAATTTATAAATATATATCTAACTTATATACTCTGAAATTGTATGGTTAAATGATATCTTATACTCATATGCCCGAATAATTGTAATTATATTCATTTCATGGAATTGTATAATCAATTGCGGCTCAATTTGATTGATCATTTTTCTTTTTCTTTACTATTTTATAAATTTACAGCTTTAAAAATTTACAACTTGTTTGTACAAATAATATTGTTTTCATCTTGCATACTTTTTCTATCCTTTTTCTATAAAAATTACTACTTCAACATTTTCTTTTTTCGATATCTTACCTCATCTGAAGCCATAAGGTTTAATTGTAAAGTTCCACCTCTAATGGTACTGAATATATGATCCATCATTTAACGAGGATCCACTATGTGTTAGCCTATCCGATTTTTTCGGTGCTCGAAAATTCTCATGGAAGACCTGCTGCGTACCTCATTATACTATGTTATGAGATATGCAGCAGGTCTTTTGAGAGAAATTTCGGGCACTGAAGAAAGCAGATAGGCTTCAGTGGATAGGAAGAAACGTTTTAACTTAATAAAACCTTTCGGTAATGTGATTGCTTTTTTTATGTTTGTTTTGTCTTTGCATTTAATTTTCAAAAATTCATGCATACAGGACCGTTTATACAACCGTTTAACATGCATACAGGGCCGTTTCGAGTTGAATAGGGTTCTGCAATAATTAAAGTGTAAAAGAGATAGTAAAGACTTTTATACCCTGTTTGGGGAACTGTCTAGCCCCCAAACTCGCAGCTTTATCCGTGTGGTTTCAGCCCAGCAGAACCCCTTGTATACTCTCGCTCCCAATGGGTAATTTTTAAGAAAACTTCCTATATTTACAACCCCAATCCTAAAATTGTGGTGTCCAGCCCTGAATTACTTGATTAATCTTAATTTAAAATTTAAATTTCAATCATTTCAAACATTTTATTCTCATTATTTGACTAAATCGACATTTAGTCGACTTAATCGGTTTCAAATATGTCGACTTTGATCAAGTTAGTCGAACTTTAGTTGACTTTGATTGACTTTAGAAAATATATTAATCGATTCAGTCGACAGTCGAACTTTTCAATAGTTGTAACAACACTAGTTTTTCTCAAACAAATTGAGGCGTACACCTCAAGCGCATTGAGGCTTACGCCTTGTCTCACATAGAGGGAAACCGCCTCAATACGCCTCACGCTTTTTTAAACCTTGATATACACACGCTTGTAAAAGATTCTGATGATAAGATCAGTACGATCTGCTTTCAGAAACCTTGTTTGTGTTTGAGAAAGTAAATTTTTTACTTCTACAACAAATGTAAACTTAAAACAAACAAAAAAAAAAAATGTAATGCGAATATAATTAAAAATGTTTGCTGAGGACCTGTTATGTGATAATATTATTAAAATACAAAATTGCAAGTTAAAGTATTATAGTTTTTTACTAGCTTTATCTCCAAAGTGAAAGTGATGGGTGGACAAGAGAAGAACTAGACCATTTGTTTGAGCTATCAAGGTTATAACAATAATTATATTTAGTTATACTGATAATATAGTGTTAAAAAAAAACTAATTATTTAATTAAGTTGAAAAGTTATTTTTAATAACTTAAATTTTTTTGTTGTTTCTTTGATCAGTTTGTTTTTTATCTGTTGCTTTTTTAGTAAAATATACAATATATTTTACAATATATACAGTGAAATATATTGGCAGTATAATTTGTTTAGTATATACAGTGAAATATAGTGGCACTATATTTTGTATACTTGTTTAATATATTTTCTGTCTGTACCTGTTTTAAACCAATAATATCATTTTATTGACAACTGAGAAAAAGAAACAAAAAAAACATTATCTATATCTTCTTAAAATAACTTTTCTTAAGTTCCTGTAACTTCATGGTTTTATTCTTGGCCCTATACTTTATTCAGTTTACATTAAAAATCTCCTCAAAATTCTCACATCTAAGACGGCATTGTTTGGTGATGATTCTACCATTTATTCTTATCTTGATAAGAAGTCGATACTTCTGATTGCTTGGATGGGGCACATGAGCTTAAAAAGGAGCTCACTTCCGCTACAGCATGGGGCTCTTAATGGCTGGTAAACTTTAATTTGGATAAAACTCAATTTTTATTGACTTGTTGTTATTGTAACAATCTAGATCTTCCTAAATTTATGAACGGTAATGTACTAGATGAGTCATCTACCATCTACTATTCCTTTTTCTAGGATTAAAACTTACTTCTGATCTTTCTTTAAAACCATATATCAAATTCATTGAAAAATTAGCATCTGGTAAGGTTACATCTTTTTATCGTGCTCGCCATTTTCTGATTCCGGATTCTATTCTTTATTTCCATAAATATCAAATCCGTCCTTGTAAGAATGATGTTGCCATATCTGGAGTAGATCTTTGAATGATGCCCTTTCTTTTTTAGGCAAGGCGCAAAAACGCTTTGTAAACATACTTTTACCTGCTTTTGCAGCCAACCATCAACCATTGTCATATCGTCAAAATGTTGCTTCTCTCATTCTTTTCTATAAATACTATAATATGTGCTGCTCTAAAGAGCTAGCGTCTCTTGTGCAGTCTACTTAAATTCGTTCTTGTGTTACTCGTCATTTAATTAAGTGTCATCATTTTACTGTGACTGTTCCTAAGTGGTTCGAGAATTCTTAATCGTCTAGTTTTTATTCCTCAAACATTAGTTCTTTAGAATTTGCTCCTTTTATCTTGTTTTCCTGATTCATACAATTTGCAATCTTTCAATTTTCAAGAAGTGAAGATGTTTAAAAAATAATAATAATCTGGTAAAGAAAAGGTCAACTGGCACCACAATGAGATCTTTTTTACACTTTGGCATGACCATACAAAGTTGACTGGTCAAGGTAATAATTCGGGCCAATAAAATTAAAAGTAACAATATATATATATATATATATATATATATATATATATATATATATATATATATATATATATATATATATATATATATATATATATATATATATATATATATATATATATATGTATATACCATGTTAGAACTTCACACCATCCAGGTCCATATCCTTGTTTCTGGCCTCAAAAAACCCGTTTTTATCATGCAATAGCAAACATTCTAGTCACGGTAAATGCTTGGCCGACCTCATTTTCAAAGAAGTACGGCCCAATGACGCCGTCAGCCTATAAACTGCACCAAACAGTTACACTTTGTGGATGCATCGGCTTTTAACAATCGATCATAAATTCTCATTTGCCCAAATGCGCCAATTCTGCTTTTTAACTAATCTATTGAGTTGAAATTGTATCTCATTGCAGAAGAAGATTTTCTTTTTTAATTCACAACTTATTTTTGTCGGTACAACCAACCATTTAGCGTATTGACGAGTCTTGAAATAGTCAGCAGGCTTCAGTTCTTGAATCAATTGAACCTTACATGTAAATTCAAATCTTTGTTTAAAATTCGCATCAGTGATGTTAGTGTATTGTTCAATTGTTGGGCACGACGACAAGTCAAGGTTGACGATTTTTCTGCCACACTATTGCAAACAAAATCAATGTTTTTGCAAAACAAACTAGGCAAGCATGCTCATGTATTTTCAAATTTTTTACAAAACCGGTTTGCTAAAGTTTGCGCACAATTCTCTGATGTGCAAAAAATGCATTTTGATTTGAACGTCCATTTTCGTTAAAGGCTTTAACAATCTTAACGCGCTGGTCAATTATGTACCTCTCCATGGTTAAATTTGTCAAACACTGAAACAAAGTAATGTTAAATTAACTTGGGAATAAAACTTGACGTTAAAGTATCACTCACAGTTAACCATGTGCATTATAGTTGAACCTTTATCTTGCATCTATCTATTTATCTATCCATCTATCCATCTATCTATCTGTCTATCTATCTATCTATCTGTTTATATATCTACCTATCTATCAATCTATCTATTTATTTAGGAGTCCCAAGAAGTCCTAACGGCCTTGTCACAGAGTACCGCAGAAGTGCAATTAACCAGAAAGTTCACGCCTCCTTTATTACCGTGATGCAAAATATGTCCAAAGCTCGTTTCAAACCTGGATCTCTAACCACGGCCGCACAAAAACTTTCTAAAATCAATATTTATTACTCCAAAACATACAAATATACATAATAAAGACAACTATGGTTATTTTTGACGCTTTAAAATTTATAAATTACAAAACAAAAACAAAACTGTTGAAAAATTTAGCCATCGTTTTCAAAAAAAGTATTTAAGGTACCGAAATTGAATTTTCATATTTTCTAAATTCTGCATCATAGCAAAGGGCCTCAACAAATGACATTGAAAACTGCATAATAAAGCCTAAAAACAATAAATCTCGCAATTGTTAAGAAACAAAAGCATTTTAAAAACTGTAGCTGCAACAAACATCTAATGTTATTTTTTCTTTTTATAACAGTATGTTCGCAAATATATAGGCTTTAACAATGTTTGTTAACACCACAATTGTTTCATTAGTTAAAAATTTTAAAACATCACTTTATAAACCAAATAACTATTGTAAAATTAAATCCTATTTTTACTATGCTTCTTGAATATCTTATTACACACATAGTGTTAAAACTATCTGCATTCTTTTTTCAAAGTAGATAATGTGTCAACTATTCTTCTTCGTAATAAATTAAACTTATTTCTCATGCTTTTAAACAACCACATTTTTTACTTAGTTTTTCTAGCTTGATTACCGTGTATTAATAATCAGGAGTCAATTGCTAACGAAATACTGAAAATATGCAAGCTGTTTAAAGTATTATAAACACACTACTATAAAACAACAAAACACCTTTCTGCTGCTTTTTAACGCTGTTGAAGGTTTATACTACACTGTAGCGTACAAAACCATTGCTTCAGCGTTATTTCGAATTAATTAAAACACTATATTTTACCAGTGTTATAATAAATGGTTGATAAAAAGAAACACTACTAATAAAGAGTGTTTTTATCGAACTAAATTCGGATTGCATACCATTTGAAAAACACTTTGGATTTACTTTTATTTAACTTTAAAGTGTTTTTACTTATAATTATTATGCCAAAAACGACTCATTTTCTTCAACAAAATTAAATTCTGGTTCAAACATTTGACTGTAAATGGCTCTATAAATTCCTATTGTTTTTGATCTAAAGTTTACAATTTTTGGCAAAGAACATTGATCAGATACAAATATAGTTGAGCTCCAAACCAAATTAACTGTAATAATGTCAGATGATCTTATAACCTGGAGACTCTCAGTAATTAAAGAATCTAGTTCTAAAATGCCTTGGCTTTGTTTTATTGAATAAGGCAATAACTTTTTTTCCTGAATAAAAAATAAAATTGATACATCTTTCATACTCAACATAACCGAAGAAGTCGAATGTAATGTTAAACTTCTTTTATAGTAAGGGCTTAATGGTGGCAATAACAAATTGAATATATACTTTTTAATTCCTATGTTTTTATCACTATCGGTTGCTTTTAAGCAATACACCCATTGTGTTCTTGCATAGCTTTTGCTGTTAATATATCCAATTATCCGAAAACTACCCTCTGATTGGACTAGTTCAATCCAACTTTCAACGGAAACAGATTGTCCACTTTCTGTAGTAAGTTCGACAAGCAGTTTGCTCATATCTCCGTCTTTATCGTCTATGAAGGTTGAAAGTGGTAAACTGAGAGAAAAATGATATACATTGTTTGTAAAAGTGTATTCTTGCAACAATTGATCTGGAACAGGACCATCGCGAATAATAGAACAAATATAAGAGGATGATATATTAGCTGATATTAGGAAAACATTTATATTAGCTAGAACGCTAACCAAATTTGGATTAACTTCGCCGTTCGCATTTTTAAGAATTTTTAACGTGATTAAAGAAGCAAAAGAACTGTTACAATTTGCATTTGTAAAATCTATAATTGTCCATTTAATAGTTGTCAAAGAAAAGTTTATTTCATAGCTGATTATAAGAACTGATGAAGAAGTATACGATAAATATTTAGATATTTCAAACACAAACTGGTTGATAAACGAAGTAAAAGATTTTGCTGTTGACATTATTGTGAAAGTGATTATAAAGTTTTCTTGAATGGGTTTGTAACCTTGGATCTTTATATCAATCAAACGATATGCTTCTACTTGCAGTGAAGATACAGCAATTAGCCTAAACGAATAGCTGGTTTTTTGCAACGCTATTACGTTTGATGCATAACCTTCTATTTTTAGACCTATTAATCCGTTAGAACTCAAAGTTACCCAATAAAAGTCAGGTAACACATTTCCGTTTTCATCTCGCAAATATACTGATAAACTTGTTCCGATTGACGGAGAAGTAAATAAATTATTTGGAAGCAATACAGAAAAGAATACTCCAAATTTTACTTCTATAGCATTCAAAGATGCTGGACCAACTAAGGGTGGATTGCTTGACAAAGTACTACAAGAAAAGTCAAAGATTTCTTTATCTTCTAGTAACAGAAATTCGTTTTGATACATACGATTGTACATAGCGCTGTAAAATCCTACAGTTTTAGATCTTAAATTTATAATTCTCTGCAGAGAACATTGTGTAGATACAAACTGTGTTGAGCTCCATACCAATTTTACAGTGACATATTTAGATGATCTTGTGACAAGCAAACTATCTGTTATTATAGACTCAACCTCTAAAACATCATTGTCCTGATTTTGAGCCGAAAAATATGGGATCAGTTTTTTTTCCTGAATAAAAAATAAAATTAATACATCACTCATACTAATTATATTTGAATAAAAAGATCGTAATGTTAAACTTCGTTTATAGCTAGGAGCAGCAGGTGGCGATTTAATGTTGAATATGTACTTTTTGACACCAAAGTTTTTGTTACTGTCAGTTGCTTTTAAGAAATAAATCCATCGATGTTTAACATAACATATGCTATTTATATACCCATTTAACCGGAAATTACTTCCTGAATTAACCAAATCAATCCAACTGTTAAGGGTGACAGGAGTTCCATCTTCATTAGTAAGCTCAACTCCTAAGTTGTTCATACCTCCATCTTTCTCGTCTACAAAAGTCGAATTAGGTACATAAATTGAAAAGCGATAAACATTACTGCTAAAAGTAAATTCTTGTGATAGTTGATCTGGAACAGGTCCATTTTTATCAATAGCACAAATATCTGAGTATAAAACATCTACAGATTTTAAAACTATATTTATGTTAGCTAAAAAACGTGTTAAATTGGGATTGACTTCACCATTTACGTCAATTAGTTTCAATTTAACTGATGCTGTTGATGAAACATCACAGTTTGAATTTGTAAACTCAACCAATGTCCAAAGAAGTTTTGAAACCAAGAAACTTGTTTCATAACTAATTAAAAGTATTGATGAAGGAAGGTATGAAATATAATTTGAAATCGCCAAAACAAACTGGTTAATAAATGCTGGCGAAAAATTTATTGGCGACAATATAGTAAACGTGATCAAAATGTTTTGTTGAATAGGTTTATACCCTTGAATAACAACATTTAAAAGACGATATGATTCTACTTGTAACGAAGTCACAGCAACCAATCTAAAAATATAATTAGTATTTTGTGTAGCTACCATATTGGTTGCATATCCCTCTATTCTAAGATTAGGTGAAGTAGTCATGGCAATCCAATATTTATCTGGTAAAGAATTTCCATTTGCGTCACGTAGGTATAATTCCAAACTAGTTCCTATTGAAGGCGAAATAAACAATTCATTTGGAAGATTTATGGAAAAGTACTCGCCAAACTTTACCGCAACTGCGTTTAAAGTTTCACCTCCAAGTAAAGGGGGATCAACCGACAAATTGCTGCAGACATCATAAAATGATTCCTTGTCTTCTACAAAAATAAACTCCGGTTGGAACAACTGATTATATAAAGTTTTGTATTCTCCTATAGTTTTTGATCTAAAATTTATGATTCGCTGCAGAAAACATTGAGTAGAGACAAACAGACTTGAACTCCATACCAAATTAATTGTTATATAGTTTTTTGACCTTATAATTTGAAAGCTATCAGTAACTAATAAATCCACGTCAAGAATACCTTGGTTTTGTCTTTTTGAATAGGGAATTAACTTTTTTTCTTGAATAAAAAACAAAACAGATACATCTTTCAAACCAATTATTGACGAGGCAAAGGATTGAAGGGTTAAACTTCGTTTATAAAAAGAAACCTGAGGTGGTGGTATCAAGTTGAATATATAGTTTTTAATTCCTATATTATTATCGCTATCAGTAGCTTTTAGGAAATAAACCCATTGAGACTTGGCATAGCTTTTCCTGCTTATAAAACCATTTAAAAAATATCTATTACCTGAATAAACTAACTCAATCCAGCTATCGATAGGAACTATAAGTCCATTTTCTGTAATAAGCTCAAGAACCAACTTACTTGTATCTCCATCTTTTTCGTCTACAAAAGTAAAATCCGGCAAAGGGATAGAAAAGCGATAAATATTGTTAGTAAAAGTATACTCTTGTAATTTCTGATCTGGAACAGGTCCTTTTCTATCAATTGAACAACTGTCTGCAAAAAAAAAATCAATTGATTTAAGATTTCCATTAATGCTTGTTAAAGCAATTAATAAATCCGTTCTAATTTTATTATTTGCATCTAGTAGTTTAAGTTTTAATACTGATGCTGATGAAACGTCACAATCTGTATTAGTGAATTCAAGTAAGGTCCAATAAATACTTGTTTGTGATGCAGTTGTATTATATTTTATAATAAGCAATGATGAAGGAGAATAAGAGAGATAACTCGATAGTGTGCTTACAAACATGTTGATAAAAGTTGGAAGAGATCTAATTGTTAACAATAATGTAAAGGTGATTACAACGTTTTCTTGTACGGGATTGTACCCCTGGATTTTAACATTTAAAAATCTATAAGCATCCACTAGTAACGAAGTTACAGCAACTAATCTAAATGTGTAACTAGTATTTTGAGAAGCTATCATACTTGATACATAACCCTCTAATCTAAGACCTGGTAACAAACTTGTGCTGCTCAGAGTTATCCAGTAGTACTCAGATAAATTGTTGCCGTTTTTATCACGCAAATATACTGAAAGGCTTAATTCAGTTGAAGGAGAAGTAAACAAATTATTAGGAAGAACTATAGAAAAAAACTCTCCAAATTTTAGTTCAAATAAATTTAATATTCCTGAGCCAATTAAAGGGGGATCAAAAGATAAATGACTACAAGCTCCTGAAAATGACTCATTTTCTTCCACCAACATAAACTCTGGCTGAAACATGTTAGTGTAAACATAGCTATATTCTCCTATAGTTTTAGACCTTAAATTTAAAATCCCTTGAAGAAAACATTTATCAGATAAAAATAATGTTGAGCTCCACACCAATTTAATAGTCATATAGCTCTCTGACCTTATTACCAATAGATTTTCTGTTATTAAAAAATTAACATCTAAAATGCCTTGATTTTGTCCTAACGAAAAAGGAATCAACTTTTTTTCTTGAATAAAAAATAAAATAGAAACATCTTTATTACTTGTAATAGCCGAGGAAAATGAACGTAGAGTTAAACTTCTTTTATAATGAGGAGCTTTAAATGACGACAATAAATTGAATATATACTTTTTAATACCAACATTTTTATCACTGTCAGTTGCTTTTAGTAAGTATGACCATTGAGATTTATAATAAGTTTTGTTGCTGATATAACCATTTAATCGAAAGCTACTTCCTGATTGAACAAGTTCAACCCAATTGTCTACAAAAACAGAAAGTCCATTTTCTGTTGTAAGCTCAACTGACAACTTATTCATTACTCCATCTTTTTTATCAATAAACGTTGAAAGAGGTAAAATAATTGAAAAGCGATATACACTGCTGTTGAAATTAAATTCTTGAAATGGCTGATCAGGCACGGGGCCGTCTGTGTCAATGGTGCAACTATTTGTTGATAAAATATCGTTTGAAAGAAGCACGATATTTTTGGTGGATAATAAACTAATCAAATCAGAATTGACTTGACCATTCAGATCAAGTAGTTTTTGTGTAATTAGTGAGGTTAATGAACTGTCACAATATGCATTTGTAAACTGAACCATTGTCCATTTGATGTTTGTCAATGGAAAAACTGTTTCCGAACTAATTATTAACATCGAAGAGGGGGAGTATGATAAGTAATCTGACATCGAAAACACAAACTGATTAATAAATGAGGGTAGTGAACTAAAAGTTGCTAATATTTTAAAGTTAACAATAAAATTTTGTTGAACAGGTTTGTAACCTTTGATAATAATGTTTAGAAAACGGTACGCTTCTACTTGTAATGGCGTCGCAGCAACCAACCTAAATGTAAAGTTACTTTTTTTGATTGCGAACTCAACTGATACATAGCCTTCAATTTTTAATCCAAATAAGTTTGTGCTGCTTAAAGAAATCCAGTAATAACTTGGAAGAGCTTTTCCTTCTTCATCTCGCAAGTATATTGACAAACTTGTTTCCAAAGATGGTGGAGTGAAAATATCATTAGGTAGAATTTCAGAAAAAAATTCTCCGAATTTAACTGTAATATTGGAAACGGTTGAAGGACCTATTAAAGGTGGTTTGTTTGTTAAAAATTTACAGGCATTAAGAAACTCCTCAGTTTCACTTATAAAAACCATTTCTGGTAAAAAAGAATTTTTGTATAAATGTTCAAAGTCCCCTAACGTTTTTGATCTAAAGCTAGCAAGGCCCTGAATGTCACATATTTTTGAAATAAATATAGCTGAAGTCCAAACTAAATGTATTAAAATTAGTGAATCAGTATAAGTAACCTCTAGCGTGTCGGTTATTATTGTAGCTATGTCAGGAAGTCCCTGGTTTTGTTGCAAAGAATAGGGATAAAGTTTCTGCTCTTGAATGTAAAAAAGAATTTCAATATTTGACTTCTCAAAAAACATCGGTGCAAAAGAGCGTATTGTCAAATTTTTTTTATAATTTGCTTGCGTTTGTTTACCAACCATAATAAAATTATATCTTTTTAAGGCCACATTTCCAGCGCTGTCTGTTGCTCTTACATAGTATGTCCAAATGTTTGATTTTAAGACTAAAATGTTCACGTAACCAATAAATGCATAACTATTGTTAATTTTCTGTAATTGCACCCAGCTGTTCGTTGTAACTGTAGAATTTTTATCTGTCAAAAATTCAATTTTCAAGCCATTCATATTTCCATCCTTTACATCAACAAATGTTGTCACTGGTAAACCTATCTTGAAACGATACATGTTAGTTTGAATAAGAATATCTTCAGTTTTGTTATCTGGTATGGGAGGCTTGGAATCAATATTGCACGCAAACCCTAAACTAAATGTAATATTTGTAACTAAAAAGTTCATTTTAATAAGCGCAAAAATCAAATTAGGATTTAAAGTTGCATCATTGTTCTTTAGTTTCAAGGTCATAGTCTGAATCAACTCGTCGTCACAATAAGAGCTTGTTAAAGATAGTAGCGTCCACTGAATATTAGTGGAAGATGATGTGTTTTCAAGTTTTATCACAATAATAGAAGATAAACGAACTGCTAGATAGCTTGATAATTTTGAAATAAAACTTGAAACGAATATATAATTTGTAATATGTAGCTGAGACGAAAATGTTACAACAAAATTTAGCTGCAATTTCCTAGAATCAGTAATGGTAACATTAAACAAACTAAAAATTTCTTCGAGTAACGGAGTAATTGCAACAAGTTCAAAAATAAATACGGATTGCTTAAGAGAGAATTCATAAGGCATATATCCTTCCACTCTTACTCCGTTTTGATATATATTTCCGTTCAATTCAATCCAAGGTAATGTTGAACGTTCTCCGTTTTTCCGAAGTTCTAATTTAAGCAACATGGTGCTTCCACTTAATGGCGATCTGAATACATCATGTGGAACAGCAACTGAAAATGAGGTTCCTGAATCAATTTCAATTTTGTCAAATTGTTGAGTTCCAAGCATTGGTGGGTCAGCTGATAAATAACTACACGCACCCGAAAATATCTCTGTATTTCTTATCATACTGAATTCAGGAAGAAACATGTTGTAATACGTCGTATAGTACTTACCATGATTTTTCTCTCTAAACTGCAAAATTTTTTCTAACTGACAATACAATGATATGAAACCAGTATAGCTCCATAACAACGTGATTGTTATTGCATCATTATTACGCAAAACTTTAAATTCCTCCGTCATAATAGAATCAATTTGTGTCATTCCTTGCGTGTTTATTAAAGAATAGTTTAAGAGCTTTATTTCTTGTATATAAAAAAGAATTTGTACATCAGTTTTCTCAAGAAAACTTTCGGTGTTTGAATGGAGTGTAAGAAGCATTTTGTATGTGGCTTGATTTGGTAAAAAATCAAAATAAAAGTTGTAAAATTTATTTGCATAATTTCCATCGCTGTCAGTCGCTCTTAAGATTACTTTTTTCATTTGTTTATTTAAATTCCAGTCAATGTATCCAATTAAGTTATCGCTTCCATTATTTCTATCAATTTGAACCCAATAGTTCAATGGGACTGGTTCTTCATTTTCTAGAAGCAGGTTTATATCAAGGTTACTCATGTCACCATCTTTTGAGTCAACAAATGTAGTTTGCTTTAGAAGCAAATTGAATCTATATTGTGTATTTGTTAAAGTGATGTTCATTTCCGGTTTGTCAGGAACTGGACCATTTTTATTAGTATTACAAGCATTAATTTTTTCAATGGTAACAGAGGATAAGTTGTAAATTATTTTATTTAGAGAACTTGAAAAGTTCACATTTGGTTGGCCATTTTCATAGATAAGTTTACTAATAATGAAGTTTAGTCCTTGGAAGTTGCATTCCTGTGTAGTATACTCTTTAAGAGTCCACCTTATTACCAAGTTTTTTGAAGAATAATTTAAGTCCAGTATTAATACAGACTCCACTGGATATATTAAATAACTTGAAACGGCTGATAAAAAGTTATTAATATATGTAAAATAAGAAATAATGTTATGTGTTACAATGGACAACGTCACTACAAAGTTCTCTTGTATTTTAAAAAAGTTGATAACATTTAGTGCAAAAGACCTACTTGCATTAATCAGTAAAGACGTATAAGCTATTAACTGAAAGTTGAATGTTTTTTGGATTGCAATTGAATCATACAAGGGATATCCAACTAATCTTAAGTTGTTTGAAAAACTATTGTCATTTAAGCTAACCCAATAGGTGTCGGGCAACATTTTACCATCATCGCCTTTTAAGTAAACAGTTAAGTTCATACCACTTCCATCATCTGGCGGCCTAAAAATATCATTTGGTATGTTTACTGAAAACGGTAAACCAAAAATGACATCAACTTTGGTAAACGAAGTATTCGTAACTATCGGAGGATCTGAAGATAAATAACTGCAGCTATCAACAAAATACTCGATGTTACTCAATAAAATAAACTGCGGTAAAAAAAAGTCTGTGTATATGTCTTTAAAATCTTCAAACACTTTTGTTCTGTAACGAACAATTTTGTTTATTTCGCAAGAGGAAGAACTAAAGATTTTAGAGCTCCATAAAAGTCTTACCGTAATAAGTTTGCTTACTTCTCTTGTGACATTTAATTCAAGTACTACCAACATGTCCATTACACTAATTCCTTGCTTCTGAAGAATAGAGTAGGATAAAAGCTTATGTTCTAGAATGAAAAAAACGAGTTGAACGTCATTCATAGTAATAATTTCAGCTAAAGATGTCTGGAGTGTTATTGAGATCAAATAATTTGTTATGAAGCGATCAAATTCTAGTAAAAAGTTAAAGGATTTAGTTGCATAATTACCATCGCTATCGGTAGCTTTGAGGGTAAAATACCAATTTTTTTTACTTATTGTTTCTAAAGTTAAAAAACCAATCAAACTGTCTTTATCTTTTGACCGTAATAATTGAACCCAGTTGTTTATCGGTACATTATCGCCATTAGGAAGTAAAAGTTCTAATCTCAAATTATTCATGTATCCGTCTTTCGCATCTACAAAAGTCGTATTTGGCAACAAAATAGTAAAGTGGAAAACATCTTGAATTTTATACGTATGGAGAGCTTCATTACGCACTGGGCCGTTTTTATCAATATAACATGCCAGTTTTTCTATAAAAGTTATATTAACAATTGAATAATTCATGTTTTCAATAAAAATATTTTTTAACATATTAAGTGGTAACCCGCTTTCATCAACAGTTTTTGATTTTAGCAGTTCTAAGTTCATAAAATCACAAACTTTTGAAGTAAATTCATTTAGTGACCATTTCACGTTAACCTGGCCAGAAGAGAAATCTACATTAAATATGATAACTGAAGAATTAAAAGATAAGTAATTAGATAACACTGCAATGAATTTATTAACAAATCTAGTATACAGAATTGAAGATGTCAATAAACCATTAAACAAAACTACAAAGTTTTCTTCAAGTTTTTGAAAATAATTTATATTAATTGTTAAAATCCTGTAACTTTCTTCCAATAGTGGTGTACTTGCAATCAACTGAAAAGTAAAGTTATTCTGCTGAATAGCAAGGTAGACGGATATAAAACCTTCTAATATCAGTTCATTAGTTGAAATATTTTTGTTCAATAATACCCAATAAAATGATGGAAGTTTTTCTCCGCTACTTGTGCGAAGGTCAAATGATAAACTCATTAGTTTACCAGTTTCAGGGGCCAAAAATAAATCTGATGGAATAAGGTAAGAAAAGTAAACTCCTAGATCAACTTGTATTGGATTAAGTAAAACTTCAGAAACTTTAGGAGCATCATTAGAAAGGTAGGCGCAAAAACTACTAAAGTATTCTGTAGAATTTTTCACTATAAATTCTGGATTAAAATATTGCTTATATTTAGCATTAAACCCTTTAACAGTTTTTGATCTAAAATTTATAATTTTTGTTATACTACAAAAATTTAAAACAAAAATCGACGAACTCCATAATAAAACAATAGTTGTTACGTCATTTTCTTTTGTAATATTTAGATATTCAGTCATAAAACTTCCAATTAATGGTATTCCTTGGAGGTTTAATTGAGAATACGGAAAAAGTTTTTGCTCTTGAATATAAAACAATATTTCAACATTCGTTTTCTGAAATATTTCCGATGTACTTGATTCCAATATGAGTAGTCTTTTGTAAATCGGTTCTTGAGGAGGCGATATTAAAGTAAAATTGTAAAACTTTACTGCCGAGTTGCCATCTTTATCGATTGCTTTTAGATTGAAATAATAGTTTTTATTGCTCCAAACAGATCGATCAAGATAAAAAATTAACTCATCTTTATTTTTAGATCTTTTCAAAACAATCCAGTATGAATCAGGAACCAACTGATTATTAGTAAACATCCATTGCAGTTGAAGAGTGCTGGCGTTACCATCTTCTTCATCAATGAAAGTTTTTCGAGAGAGATCTATAGAGTATCTATAAATATCACCACTTATAATAAAAACTTTATAACGCTCATCAGGAACAGGTATTCCACCTTTAACATACAACAAACTAAAATTTTAAAAACAAAGTTTTAAATAAAACCGTATTAAAACTAAATTCGAAAAACTAAAAACGTAACTAATGTGTACAACAAAAATTTATTTTTTGCGTTTTGCAGAAACTATATAAAAACGCACAACTATAGAATAGTTTTATAAAATTTATAAATTGGTGGGTAAATATAAATAAAACAAGATCTACTTATTTTTTATTTTAAAACTTTTTGTTTTAAAAAAGTTTTTATCATTACTTTTATTAATGTAGTTATATATTTATTATTTGTATGCTCAGCGATGGATCCAGGGGGTTGGGTATGCGTTCTCCCCCCCCCCCCCCCAACACCAGAATCGGAAAGTCCTAAAAATATCATAGAAATTGAGGACCTTATTTATTTATTTTTTTAAGAGACGAAAATATGGCACAAAATACAAAAATATTTTAACATTCTCCCCCACCAAAAATTCCTGTATCCGTCACTGTCAAATATCACGGATATAACAATTTTAAAAAAATGCATTTTATATTAACAATATAATTACAAATGCGAGCCCTTACTAGAAATAGCAAACAATATGGTTTCTAAGAAATGAACTTTGCTGAAGTAGTTATAACTACCTCATTTAAAAATGCGGAAACAGGGTTAGGTACCTAAGGCAGATATATGGTTAGAATTAGGAGATTTTAGCATTCCGCATTTCCGCATTTTACCCGTGTCCTATAAAATATTATTTTTAATTGAAAAAAATTAGCTTCAAAAATAAATAAGAATGTCAATTAAAAAAAACAACATTAAAAACTGGAAAAATATTGAATAATAGGTGATTGGTATGAGCATGAATTTACCTTTAGAATTGTGAATAAATGTTGTCTGATAAAAAAAAAAAAAATGTTTTACTATATAAACATTTATATCTTTTATATGAAAATGAAATTTTGATATAAATTTTATTGAATGAGGATATCTCATTCAACAAAATCTCATTTTTGAAGAAATTAGAAAAACTTTGTTGATGGTATAAATATTACCAATACTAATGGTATTTTTATGGGGCCACGGCGCAGTGGTTAAAGCGCTTGCTTTTTAAACAGGAGATCCAGGTTCGAAACGAGCTTTAAACATATTTCGCGTCACGGTAAGGAAGGAGGCGTGAACTTCCCGGTTTAATGCACTTCCGCGGTTCTGTGAGACAAGACCGTCAGGTTTTCTTGGGGCACCTAAACAACAAATTAAAAAAAAAAAAAAAAAATTAATTGACGTTCTTATTTATTTTTGAAACTAATTTTTTAATGAAATGAAAGTTCTCAATATTTATGAGCTTATTGTTTTTAATGTTTTGTGCTTTATTTATATGTGGAAAAATGACATATCTTTACCCGTTTTCAAAGCTCTCTTTCGTTTGAAACCAATAAATAAATATACACTTGTTATACACAATATTATACACAACTTATTATACACAATAATTTTATATATAAGCCCTTTTGTCGAACCAAGTTTAATCACTTTTGTATTGCATATCATGCACTATCTTCGGAATAAAATTGTTTTGTCTAATTTCGGCATGCATTTTACTTCTCCCGTTTTCAAATATAAACTGAAAAATTTAATTATCTGATAATATTAATACGCTAATTTAATAGTAGTAATAGTCGACTTACGTCATTTTCTAGGCTTTTTTATTTTAAAGTAGTTTCTAGACTTTTCTATACGCGTTTTTTTTTTTTTAATTTTTTTTTTACTAACAACCCGTATTACGGGTTGCTTACTGCTAGTCTTAACGGATAATGTAGCCAGGTTTTTTTTAATTTAAATCGTTTTTTTTATTTAAATCTACATACTATTTTAGTTTCAGAAAATTATATCAAAATTTAATTAAAAAACAACTTATATTTTTACTCATGTTAAACATTAAAACCACTATGCTATTATCCATAACATCGTTTATGAGATTTTTTGAGCAGCAAAGTAAAATAAATAAATTGCTTACCAGAACTTTAAATATGTTTGAAAAACATGCAGGAGTTGAAGAGAAGGAAAAAAAGCAAAATAATTGCAACAGGCAATGCTTTTGCAAGAATAATCACTTTTTTTTTTTTTTTTGGCAAAAACAAGAAAATAAAATATTTGCTATTTTTTTATTTTCAAAACTTTTAGTTTTTGAAACTTTCTTTATTTTTAAAAGCATTTTAAATAAATTTTATTCAGCATAATTTGAAAGTTTTTTTATTAAATTCAGTTTCTAATTTTCCATAAAAGCGTAAGAAAAAAATTGAACATATATAAACCTCGTTTTAAAGAATAAAATTTTATTATCACTTTTACTTTCTACCAATGAGTATGTTAAATAAATGTCTGTTACAGAATTGAAATTAATATAAAGAAAAGCTCATCGAACAGATCTCACACTTGCTCGACATTGGTATAGATTTTCTTTTGATCTTTGGTGAGAAAGAAATTGGTGAGAAGTTGCTTTGAATGAAGATTTTGCAATGTTGAATCGTTCCCTTTTCAGTTTCAACTTTTTCTGATTCAACTTTTTGTCAAATGGTTTATCTAATCGAAACTGCTTTTGCTTAGGGGTCGTCCATAAAGTACGTACCTCAAAAAATTCGAAAAATTGACCTCCCCCTTCCCCTCCCCTGTTGCCATGCGTTATTTTTAGTCCCCTCCCCCTTTGAAAAGTACGTATGCTTTTGAAGTACCCCCTATCTTTTTCTTTTCTTTTAATGAGTTAAAAAGTTAAAATTTATAAAAAAAAGCATTTTTAAAGTAATTTAAATATTAGGGATCGTCCATAAAGTAAAAGTAATAAATCATCAAAAAGCGTTGATATTCTTTATATTTCAAAACGTTCCATTTCATTAAAAAAATTGCTCAATACTTTTCAAAAACAAATGAAGTACAAAAAGAATTTCGGATTTTCTTCATCTTTCAATTTTTAATTAATTAGCGCAACAACAGTGTTACTAAGGGCAATAAGTTTAAAAGCTAAAGTTTTAAAGTATTGTTAAACTTTAAATATTAATTTTTTATGTTGATATTATTTATGATACTTATGATATTATTTATATAACAGTTTATGTAAAATGTTATGTAAATAATATCTTTTATAATTTTTTAAACTTTATCTTGTAAAAAATGTTTTTTAAAGCAAAATTATTAAAATGAATAATAGTGAAAAATACAAAATTATTTACCAACAAGTAGAAAAAGTTATGCCACAAAAAAGTAAACAGGAGCAACAGAAAGAAGCTAATAAATTGTGGTATAAAGTTAAACATAAAAAATTGACGTATGAATGAAGTCGGTTGATATCTTTTTAGTCTAATGTTAAAACATCTCATAATCAATCTATTTCAGAGAAGCTGCCTCTTACAAACGAAATATCAGATGAGGGACCACGAGCTTTGTTAACATCCGATGAAGCAGACAAAATAGATTTTGAAATCATTAAAACACTAGCTTCTTCTTCTAAATTTGATACTCAAAAACGTCAAAAATTACAAACGGAAGTACCAATTGATCAGCCGACAAAATGTCATTCTCAACAACAAGAGAAAATTCAAACTGAAATTTTTCAGTTACAAGAACAGTTGTTAACATTGGTAAATGTGCGCCGTGCAAGATTGATAACAAACGAACTTAAAATCAAATCGATTTTTTTAGAATAGCAAAATAAAACAAACCCGTATTAAAAAAATGAAACGCGAAGCAATTCGTCTAAGACAACGCAGAGCAAGTTTGAAACGAACACAATGGTATTGTCGATGACACACCCTACTTAAAATCAAATTCAATAGAGAAAAAAATGGTCCAACCAGCTGTAATTGAAGATCAGCCAGATCTTCTTAATGCCATCGTTAATATTGCATCAATAGGAGCCGCTGCTAGCGATCGACGAAGATCGCAGAAATTACGCTCATTTAAGACGCTTGATGACTTAAATAAAAGCCTACAAAAACTGGGTTATTGTTTATTTCGATCTGCAACTTATTTAAGACTGATGCCTAAGCGATCAAACACACTTGAGGGAATACGTCACATTAAGACAGTTCCTATGAAACTGATAAGAAACTGCTAATTCAGCTCGTGATAGGCATATCAATGCTGGATTTACATTTGCGTGCATGCAATACATGGATGAAATTTGTTCAATGTTTGGTCCAGATTCATGCTTTTAATTTAAGTCTAGACGACAAAGCCAAAGTACCATTAGGATTAGCATCTGCAACAAAACAATCACCAATTTTGATGCATCTTGATTATCAACTACGTTTGCCAGATCATGAATTTTTAGTAGCTTCCAGACATAAGCTTATACCGTCTGTTTATGCAGCTTGTATTATTGATCCAAACGAATTTCTGACGCAGTGTCATATTCTGGACCAACATATATTGCTATCTTGTTTTAATTGAAAACCTTAAGTTTCACATTTGTACTCCAGAAGGTCAGGTAAAACCTATATTTGTTGTTGCATGTGATGGAGGCCCTGATGAAAATCCAAGGTTTCCCAAACAATTGCAAGTTGCAATTGCAAGATTTATCAAATGGGATTTGGATGTCTATATAGCAGGAACTCATGCACCTCATTATTAAGCATATAACAGAGTTGAACGGCGAAAAGCTCCACTAAGACGAGAGTTAGCAGGATTGGTTTCACCACATAATCATTTTGGGACACATCTAAATGCATCTGGAAAAACAATTGACGTCGATTTAGAAAATTTTATTTTTCCTAAAGCTGCAGAAACTCTAGGTGAGGTATGGTCGAGTATAGTAATTGATAACTATTCTGTTTATGCTGAATATGTTGAACCTTCCCAACTGTCACCAATACCAGAGCAAGATTCAAAATGGATTGAAAATCACGTAAGACAAAGTCAATATTTTTTAATGATAGTTATGTGTGATGTTCCGAATTGCTGTAAACCTTGGCGAAGTTCCTGAAAAAAATATTTTCCTCAACGTTTTTTACCAGGTCCACTTGTAATGTCTCATGCTGCTGAA